AAAAAAAAAAAAAAAAAAAAAAAAAAAAAAAAAAAAAAAAAAAAAAAGACAGAAAGAAACTAGGAAAACAGCACCCTTCTCAATAGCCACAAAAATATGAAATATGGAACAACTTGCAAAAGATCCAAGATGGGGATGCCATGAGGACACTGTGTCTGAGGAGCAGGACAGCAGTGTCAGGACAGTGATGAAGAAACTGATCTCTGGGCCCTAAAAAAATAATTGTGTATCCCAGGTGAAAGAAAACTCCATGGTGTGGGAATCAGACAGGTCCACTCTCAGGTCACCCAGCCAGAACCTGGAAGAGACACCAGGTCACACATGCACTTAGTCGTCAGACCAGAGCTGCACCCCTGCATGTCCTGATCACCTTCCCAGGTTGAACTGTGGGCACCAAAACAGAAACTGGGAGTCCCAGTGGCGAGAAAACCCCACAGGGAAGGAAGCAAAGGGGACTGACCTTAGGTCACCCAGCCTATCCCTGGAAAAGTTACAGAAGACCAGCAGGTGCACAGCAACCATCCCTGAGCTGGGCTCCAGCCTCGAGCACAGAGACCTGCTGCACACCTAACTCTCCATCACAGACAGAGCTGTACACCCCAGGGCATCAGAGACTGAGTTTCCCTGTTGGGAGATAATCCCACAGGGAAGGAAGCAAGAGGGACTGACTTCAGGTCACCCAGTCTATCTCTGGAAAAGGTCCAGTAGACTGGCGGGCACACAGCCGCCAGCCCAGAGACCTGCTGCATGCCCGACACTCCATCACAGACAGAACTGTGTGCCCCAGGACACCAGAGATTAGCTTTCCCTGTTGGGAGAAAAACCCCAGGAGTGAAAACAGCGGGTCCCAGCACTCAGTCGATCCTCCCACACCATCCCAACACACATAGGAAAGTTCTAGGGAAAAGGTCTAAGGTTCCTGCCCAATCATCAGCTCGGGGCCACCACCCGCCAGTGGTACTCTACGCACCACCCCAAACTCCACAGATAGGGTCTTCCTGCTGGGGAAAACCCCAAGGTGTGGGAAACATTGGATCTAGATCCACCTAGATCTCAAAAAGTTTCTGATTATCCACAAGCTCCAGGCTCTAGCCTCCTGCTGCAGACATGACAGCGGTGCTCACCCGCCACTGATTACCGCTTGGGTACTGGGGCACAGAGCTCCAACCTCAGACCTACAGAAGCCTGGGATCACCGAGATCAACCCCAGATACTGCTCCAAGGGGCAACCAGTTAACCCTAACAATACTGTCAAACCACAGGACACCCAGGTTACAGCAGCAGATCACTAATTAACATCAAGAAACCCAGAAGCAGGGCAGTTGTCTCCAGGACTTCTTCGGGTGAGAGGCGAACCCTCTTGACTAACAAAGACCACAGTTACCACTCAGGTCTCTATGCCTGAGGTGAGCTGTGGCAATTCCTGAAAAACACTGGATATTCTGTGGCCATACCCAAAAGTTTAGTAGTCCTCCTTCAGGAAAAATCATCTTCCTGCCAAGGGATTCTCCCCACCACATTATTCCAGGAAGCACCAGAAACTAACACCCAACACCTAAGATAGCACAATGGGTAGAGGCCAGCGTAAAACCTCAACCAACAAAAGACAGAGCAATGTGGCATCTCCAGAACCCAGTCTTCCAGGGACATATACCATGTTTTTTTTTTTGTTTGTTTGTTTTGTTTTTTTTTTTCCAGTCATTTGTTGGCAGACCTGGAGTTGACTTGAATAATTTAGATCTTGTAGGAAATCTTGCATAAATAACCATTTATGTAAGAATTATTTTTATGTAACAAATATTTCTTAGGCATGAACAGTTGTGGTCATTTGGGTAAGTTTGGTATGCCCCTGCCTGGAAAAGCAAACATTAATTTTGTGTATATGAAAGAAAATTGAAAATTCTCATAACTTAAGAGTTTTAAATTTTTCCATTATCCTCATCACTACCACCACCTGTCAATCAATTTTCTCAGCAAAGGGAATAAGTGTTGGTATTTTATTTTATTTTTAAATTAAGAGATTAGGCCTTGATATTATATCCACAGAGTCTATACAGGTCTCAGGGAAGGATGCTTCCTCAGACAGGGTCAAGACTTGGACCTCAGCATCATTTGCCTGTCTCAGGTGTCCTCTACTTCCTTCTTCTCCTGCTGCACTAGGTTCTTATCTAAGAAAGACCCATCTTCATGAATATGCAAATTATGAGAGTGTATGTTTGTTACATACAGAGATGTGTCCACCTTAAAACAACCTGTGCTCAGTGTCCTCCCCACAGTCACTGAACACTCTGGCCCTCACCATGGGAGGGAGCTGGATCCTCTTCCTATTGGCAGCATCTACAGGTAAGGGGCTCCCCAGTTCCAACCCTGAGGTGCAGACAGGGACTGAGAGGACAATGCCATCCACTCTGCCTTTCTCTCCACAGGGGTCCACTCCCAGGTCCAGCTGCAGCAGTCTGGGTCTGAGCTGGTGAGGCTTGGGTCCTCAGTGAAGCTGTCCTGCAAGGCTTCTGGATACACCTTCACCAGCTACTATATATGCTGGATGAAGCAGAGTCCAGGACAGGGGCTGGAGTGGATTGGATATATTTATGGAAATAGTGGTACTGGCTATAACCAGAAGTTTCAGGACAAGACTACACTGACTGCAGACTCATCCTCCAGCACAGCCTTCATGACACTCAGCAGCCTGACAGCTGAGGACTCTGCGGTCTATTACTGTGCAAGACAGGCACACATTGCTGCAATCACATCCTGAGTGTGTCACAAAAACTGGAGGGGCAGGAAGCTGCCCTAAAAGCAAAATGAGAGAAAAGATTGGCCTGAATGTTGGCTTAGAAATAGTCATTCTATAGCAGAAACTTGAGTTTTGACAAAGGAGTCAAAAATATGTGATGGAAAAAGGGTAATATCTTCAACAAATGGTGCTGGTCTAACTGGACATCTACATTTAAAAATATGCAAATAGATCCATATTTATCACCCTGAACAAAAGTAAACTCCAAGTGGATCAAAGACATCAACATAACACCAGATGCACTAAATGTATTAGAAGAAAAAATTTTGGAAGAGCCTGAAACTCATTGGTACTGGAGACAACTTCCTCAACAGAACACCAACAGCACAGGCCCTAAGATCAATAATTAATAAATAGAGTCTCATGAAACTGAAATGCTCCTGTAAAGCAAAGGACACCGTCCATAGAGAAAAATGACAGCCTACAGACTAGGAGAAGACCTTCACCAACTCTGCAGATGAGAGGGAGCTAATATCCAAAATATATAAAGAACTCAATAAATTTAATAACAACCAACCAAATAATCCAATTAAAAAAAATGAGGTACAGAGGTAAAGAAAGAATTCCCAACAGAGGAATATTGAATGGCAGAGAAACAAAGAAATGTTCAATGCTCTTAGTCACCAGAAAAATGCAAATCAAAAAGACTCTGAGATTCCGTCTTCCAGCCATCGGGAAGGAAACCTGCCAGAGAATTCCTCTGAAAGACTCCACTCACCAGGGGATGTAATTAGATTCTGAGACTCACAACCAAATTTCAGGCAGAGTACAGAGACTCTTATGGAAGAGATGAGAATGGAAGGATCCAGAGCGGAAAGGAGCTCCACAAGAAGAACAACAGAGCCAATAAATCTGGGCCCAGGGGGGCCTGCAGGGACTGATGCATCATCTAAGGACCATGCATGGAAAGAACCTAGGTACCTGTTCAGCTATAACCCATGGAGAGCTCAGTCTCCATGTTTGGTCCCTAGTAAGGGGAGCAGGGCTGTCTGTATATGGACCCCGTTGCCTGCTCTTTGATCACTTTCCCTTAGGGTTATGTCTTGCCAGGACACAGAAGAAGAGGATGCAGAAGAACACGGCTGGCTCAGCCTGGTTTCAGAGGAATAAAGAATTTAGTATAAGTAGTTTTATAAAGCAGCATGATTTATCATCATCATCATCATCATTATTATTATTATTATTATTATTTTGCTCAAGGTCCCAAATGAGCCCTATCATCATTACACCATAAGTTTTTCCTAGTAACAGTCAATAGTTGATGAGTTTATCTTAGTTATACTTTGGCTCCAATTTATTTAAGTCCCATGTATCTGCTATGCAGAGGCAGGAACTGTAGAGACAGAAAATCCCAATAATTATAGACATGTAACAGCCAAAGAGAGAAGGCAGAGGCATGGTATGCTCCATGGAAGTCCCAGATCTTTCCTTTTATGGAAGGTGAAATAAAATCAATAAAGCAAAATCAAACTTGACTAGGCACAGGAAGAGAAAGAGAAAAACAAAATATTGGTACCATCAGGACATAGATCCACCTGCTGGTTTCCATTCACCTGAAAATTCCAAATTTTCCTTCACTTAAAGACATGTCTGCTATCCAGTCAGATGAGGGAGTGGCTAAGTGGAGATGTCCAGGCTCCTGTTGCTTTTGATATTAGGGCTGTCCAAAACTCATATCCACAACAACGGATCTTCCTTATCATGAGTCCAGGCTATCCTTCTAAAATACTAAAAGCTAAAAAAGATTTCACTATCACATTAAATATTCCTAACTCAGGGCACAAAATGGGTAGATTTAATGCATTAGCTATTCTCATACATACACCAAAATGGGTTGGCTTGAACACATTAACTATATACTCAGAGGCCTCACTAATGCTTCCACATAAAATTGAGGAAAGAATTCAAAGACTTCCCCTTAAAGAAAGCCCAGATTGAGTTCTCTACTTCACTCTCCCTGTGTCTTCTGTTGTTCCTTTTGGTTGTTGTGTTATATGAGTCTGAGTCTATATCTCCATATCTATTGTATAGATTTTTCACTCATCTCTCTCTGTCTCTCTGTCTGAATCCCTATCTCCCTCACTCTCTCTCTGCATGTGTCTTACAAAAATCACTGTTTACCAAGCAGTGTTGATATGCTATCTTCAAATAGTCTATGTATTCATTTTCTAAGATTTATTTGAAATATTGTTTGTTTCCAGCAAATGATTGTCATAAGATATATAACAACACACATGCAATGGTCTGTGGTCAGACACTGGGACAGCAAACACCTTCGGATTAGAACTCTGCATTGCCTTAGCTTTAGAAGTTGATTACATGGGGAATCCAAGGCAGGTAAGGTTGGTAGTGATGTTTTTCCCCTAAAGGCAACTTAAAGGGACAGGTGTACACAGTCTTCATTCTTAAGTGACCTCAAGGTGTATTACTTCCCCTGACAGGGAAGTCCATAAAGAGTATGGAGTATAAGTGAATTTTTATCATTGTGACTTTCATAAGTGTGATTACTCTAAGATGGTTCAATGTACTCTAAAACTATTTTTAACAGAACTCACATAACAACCTATAAATGCACATGTTGACTGCTAATAGGTTCTGAGATTATGCATTATTCTCTAGTCTCTTATTTTCTTCCTTCCCAGTCTCACTGCCCTGACCTACACTCTACTGCCTTACCAGAACACTGAACTACACTGACACAGCATCATCCTTCCCAGGCTATAGGAGGTAACATTTTCTATAGAGCATTTGGTTTGTATAAATGCTTCAGTGCCTGGTAATCTAAAGGGTTTGATGTCAGTGATAAGTCTCTTGAGCTCAGAACATTTATTTTACACGTTCCTCTAGTAGACATTACCTTCCTATGACCAATATGAATGTTCTGTGCTTAAAATGGATGCAATCTCATGGGGAATGTGTTATGGGAGGCTTGAATCCTCTAGAAGAATTCTATATTAAAGACAATGCACACCGATGTTGAAGTTATAAACTGTTCGAAATATCAGTGACTTTTAAGAACACCTTCCTGTCTCCTCCAACTTGAAAGCAGGGATTGTCCAGAAGGCAGGGGATCATCCACTTCAGGCCACTTGCTGAATGAGACTCTACAGTGTACTGGGGTTGCATTAGCCAAGTGGCTCTAAGACCTTAGTTCAAGGCCTTTTCTGATACCTGTTGCATCACTACAGAGCACACGAAAATAAGTTCTTATTTCACCAGGTAAAGGTGGAGAGACATTTCTTATGCTCCAAGGCCCATTGCTCTTCTGAAATCCTCTGCCATGTAGAGGATATCAACACCACCATGGATTTTCTTTTTCAAATACAACCCACGCAGTCAGGATAACATGGAATGACTGGTTCTCTCGGCAGTGATTTAGCAAGGATTGGGGAAGAGTGCATCAACACGAAGACTAAGCCAGTTATGAATGTTGTGTTGTAATTTTGAGCAGACTTGGCTCATGCAAGTTCCATAGGGCTGACATCAGGTGGGACAGGCTGTGTTTCTCAAGGAGAGCCAAAGCTCTCTGTTCTGCACAAAATTCCGCCTTACATCTGCCATGATGTAGCCCAATAATCCAAGATTTCTAGGACAATCTTCTTGCCATGTAAGAGACACCTGAGAGACTTTATTACTGTCAATAAACATTTCTTAGCAAGCCCTACATGGGAGTGATAATAAAATGGAGACAATGTTTCATCAAGGTAAACATAGAGACACAATCCTGTAACTCTATGTTATCATTTTCAAATTATATAAACGTCATATAATCAATTGCTAAATATTTGTTGCCATGATGCAGCAACAGGGAATCCTTAAATTAATTAAATGTGGAGAACCCAAGGAAAAGGTGAAGAGACAGGCCAGAAAGGGTGTTTTCTGACTCTTCACAGCAGTTTTCTCCTCAGTTAACCACATACAAGCCTGAGCATAGCATGTCTCATGTCAGCTGGAGTCTTTGCCTTGAAGGACACAAGATCTGACAGAGATCACTGCATTTGATCCTAAAATCTATGTTACTATCCTGAACGCTACCAAAACAGAAACTCCACAGTTCAAAGGCCTTCTCAGTCCCTCTGAAGACAGTTTAATCTCACAGTAGAATGAATTCTTCCCTGGAAAACTAAGGCTTGACACTATTTTCTCATGGAGACACAATTCCAAGGCTCATCTATCAGAGCCTTACCAACAATCAGTAGAAGTGTAGTGGTTTTGTGGGGTGTGTAAAAGACATCCATTTCCATTGTATGACATTAAACTTCAATGATTCTCTGTTTAGATTTTTTCCAAAGGAGCAGTATTTCAGTGAGAAGAGGGTATTTTATTCACCCACAGTCACTTCATTGGGCTTAATCTGCACTTTTGTGACTAGTGGTATGTCCTTTATAAATTTTCTCCAAAATTTGTTGTGTATATTTAATCATACATTAGATATATATTTGTAATATTCTTTTGTTGGATTCTTCACTTCATAAATATAATGCAATCTATTTTATCTCTTCTATCTAATTTTGCATTGATATTAATCCAGTCCCATATATCTGTTTGTCTCTTAGTTGCATTTGCTTAGAGTGCCTTTTGCCAGCTCTAAGCTAAAGTGATGTATGCTTTAATGGTGAAGTCTCTTTCTCAGGGCAGCAACTAATCAATTCTGCTAGTCTTTCATTACTTTGAATTAACTAAATATTAAGAGTTATCTGTGGAGCTTCTCAGAGGACACATAGTTTGGCTTATGTCTGCAACCATTACAGTATCACTGATAGTGACAGGGGTTGGCTCTCTCCTGTGGGGTGTGTCTCAAGTTGGGCTAGTCATTGGTTGGCCATTTTCTCAAACTGCTATAACTTTGTTCATGCCCATCTTGTGGGCAGGGTAAACTTTGGGTCAAATATTTTGTAGGTGTTTTGGTGTGCCCTCCCTCCACTGAAAGTCAGGCCTGGCTATAGGGGGTGACCACTTCAGTGTCCATATTCCTGTGTTACTGGGACTCGTAGCTACAGATACACCAGATCCTCCCAGGAACCTACCCTGACCCAGGTCTCCAGCTTGTCAGAGAGATTCCCACCCAATGGCTTCCCTTCTCTCTCCTAGCCCTACTGCCTCCAAACCCTGCTTTCCTGCACCTGGTCTCCACCTTAGGTCCTCCCTTCCCATCCCCAAACCATTTTCACCCAGCAGCAGATCCAATCAGATGTTGAAGAAGCACAGCCAAACATTAGACAGAGATATGGGAATCTTGGGAAGAGTTTAGAGAAGGATAGATGGACCTGAAGTGGATAAGATCTCCATACGAAGACCAACAGAGTCAACTATTCTAGGGCCATGGGGGCTCACAGACACTGAACCACCAACCTCAGTGAATGCATGGACTGGACCTAGGTCCCCTACATTTATGGATATGACAGACAGCTCAGTCTTCATGTGTTTCTTAGCAACTGGAGTAGAGGCTGTCACTGACATAGATGTAATTTCCTGCTATTAGATCAGTTTCCCCTAGTTGAGCAGCTATGTTGGGCCTCAATGGAAGAGGACCTGCTTAGACCTACTGTAACATGAGGTGTTAGGTTGAGATGGTAGGTGGTAGGGGCTCCCTTCTCTGAGAAGAAGGGGAGGCAAGGAATATGGTTAGAGGGTGCCACTGGGAGGGGAAGAAGGAGGTGGCTGTGACAGGCATGGAAATGAATAAAAGAGGTAAATAAATAAATAAATAAATAAATAAATAAATAAATAAATAAGTCATTTTTGGCAGCATATTCTTAATTCCTCTCACTTCATTGTTTGTGGTGTTTTCTTAGAACATGGATTTACTATTCTGGACTTGTTTACTCACTCCCTTCCACAAGGATTGCATTTATTCTCTTCAGGCTGAATATTCCATTATTCATTACTTTCTGTGGAGCTGGATCATGACTTGCTTTAGCCATTTTTATTGTGGAAAGTTTTTATTTTTCTTTCAGTTTTGACATATACTGTTCGTGTATATTCTCTTCCTACATGGTTAACATTTTTCATTGTTCTCCACTACAGGAATCTTTACCTTTGCAATATTTGCAAGCCTTGATTCTCATTTTTTGACATAATTTAATCTGGTGGTGAGTCCTTCTATGAGGAATTTTTGTATTTTTGAATTATTAACATTTTAAATACCAGTCTTATTTTAATTTGATTTCTTCAGCAATTATTTGCTTTTTTACTATTTATTTTTCATTTC